CCTTAATTAAGGAGTATTGGAGTCTCTGGGCAAGCGGTGACGCGTTCTTCGGGCATGGTGTGTCTTCTCCAATCCTCTCGGGATTTCTCTTGGTTTTTGGAGGGCTGAATCAAAGGGTGCTGTACCTTCTACAGTACCAGGTGGCATCTGTCTTTGCTAGGGCCGAGAAGGTTCATGTTTGACACGGCACGCTGATGTTCCAGGATCAAGAGGATGTTGGTCTTGGGGACTTATTTTGGCCGGGACGGCAATAGCAAATTACCCCATGAAGCCTTTAACCCGTAAATTCTGATCCCCTTACCTCATTGGGCTTCAAGTTTGGGGTTAGGTTCAAACAACATGAAAAGCAATTGCGACGTTTTCCCGCAAGGCAGCTCCATACATACATAAATTGTTCTATATAGATATGTGTGTGTATGTACGTATGTATGCATAAATGCATGCATTCAGGCGTGTATGTGTATACGTATGTATACATACATTGCATCCATGCATAGGTACATGCTGCCCTACCCAAATCAGACCACATCACACATCATCATCAGATCGCACAACCTGAAAGTGTTGTGCCTGTCCAGGGCCCATCAGGGCCCTATAAGACACTCCCTCGAATGAGTTTGGCCCCTACATGGAGGCCTGAAAACTTGCACAGCCTCATACAAAGCCTCAGACCACGTTCGGGCGAACAAAACTCAGAAAAATGCCAGTACCTTTCCCCTTCCCCCAGCTCAAAAGCAGGCCCCACAACCTGTTCTCTTTGTTTTGTTGCTCCCTTTTCTTGTCGAAAGACGAGGTTGGAAGATGCTTGTTCGCCGTGCTGCCACGTTGTTGACGAGGATCGTGCCCGTTTAGGGTTTGTGTTTCGCGGCTCAGGGTTCGGGTTTCGGGTTGAGGGTTGCAGGAGATTTACTACAGGCCATAAAGCCGGCTAGCTTGAGCCCTAAACTTTCAACTCCCCCCGCTCCAAGAAAAGCACCTCCGGATCCCACAAGCCCTAACTCTTGCACTTGCTAAGTAGACCTTTACATGGAGGTCTGAAATATTTCCCATGGTTTCCTCTTTCAGTGTGTATGCATATATGATATATGTATATATATATATATATATGTATAGACACACACACACCGATGTGCAAGCAATATGCTTCAAAACCCAGCCCGAATCATCACGGCCCGGTACTAAACCCCATACAACCTGATTAGCCAACCTTAACAGCCTAAAGCCCTAAACCCTAAAACCCTACACCGTCGAGGAGTCCGGATCAGAGGAGATGGACTCGAGCCTCTACCTTTGCAAGAGGCATTTGAGCCCGGGCGCAAGGTCGTTTCAGTCAGGAATATAGGGGCCTTAATAATTAGAATAGGGTTGGGGATAACATACTCTACTTAAGCAGGAGCCCCAAAAATCGCATTATGTAGGCCTCTATAGTAAGTCTTTCGTTTTGAGTGCTGGTGCCGGCCTGAACCTCCACTTTAGGGTGCAACAGAATCATGAACTGACAGGACCGATAGTAATGATGCAAACACGGCATACAGGCCAGAGTAATGAATCGGTTCGGCATCTCCTTGACACGACCAGCCAGTACAATGACCACAGCAAAAGCACGTCGTGCAGTGTTTGAAACACGCCTTTGGTTCGCGTTGGCGTTTGCGCGGGGAAACTGCAGACCTCACTGCACCCCAACAACGCAGAGACGAAACGTGCCAAGTTTTTGGGCATGGAGGGGGCTGCAGCCTAAGCCCTTAACCCCAGGCACGAAGAACCGGCACATTTGCCCCTTGCACCCCAGCACCGGAGCTGTTATAGAAGCTAGCCTTGACGGGTTGGAGGATCTTGGGGTGTAATGTAGGGGCCTTAGTAATTAGAAGAGGGTTTGGGGGCCTTTAATACTATAACTATAACTATAACTATAACTATAATAAGGAGCCCCCCAAAATCCCTATTCTAATTATTAAGGCCCCTATTTTAGGGTCATGTTTAGGGCCTTTTTAGCCTTGAGGGCAAAGCCATGAACTGGCATGTCGGCCCAAAATGCAAGCCTGAACGATACCCCCATACTATTCCTTAGCCTTCCTTAGCTTTTGTAGAGTGTAACATCTCCCAAATCCTCATTATTCTATTTTATTTTGAGGCCCGTATATTACTCTATTTTCTGTTGAGGCCCGTATATTAGCAAAGCCGATGGTCCCTGAAACGAAAACCCGAAACTCTACACCTCCACGTCAGGAGGCGTGCCTACTGCACGCCGCGGGCAGATACTGAGGAGGCTGGGGCAGCTCTGATGCGCTAGAAATCTTAGGTCTTAGTGGGGCTTATGGGGCTTGGGGTTTAGGATACCCTAGACCCTAAACCGTCTAGGGTTTCAGGGTTGAGGGATCTCTGGATGTTGGGGTTTCTCGCGTTATTTATCTTCGAAGATCCCTGCGACCATAGGGCCCTAGGGAAGATTGAGAAATACAGGTGTCTCGGAATACCTAATAATGCTGGCAGCATGTCTTCAGGAGCAGAGGTCGGGTCGAGTAAGCCCAAAGCCAGGGGGGAAATGTTATAGAAAACCAATATTGTTTCCCACATGGTCGTCATGATTCCGACGCGATCTATGTTGAGTCTTGTACCTTGAATGATACCCTACACCCTAAGCACAAAATCCTAAGCCCTAAGATCCCACCTGAAACCCATAGAAGCAATTCCGTCAGGGGCTCCATTAAGAGTTCCTGTAAAGATGCTTGCCGGGTTCCGTTGAACACCCCGAAACCTTAAACCCCTAAATCCCTAAACCCTAAACCTTTGAGGCTTTAAGGATTCTTTTACGGCTTTCAAAGCTTCCAAGTTCAGGTTCCTGGAAGGGTTTGCGGGGGATCCTTCGGGGTCCCACTGGCTGTTTCTTCAGGGCTTTGGGGTTCCGTAAGGGTTCTACATATAGTCTCCCATGGTAGTTCCTTTTTTTGGTGTAACCGGTTTTATGTTTAGGATCTTGTAAGGTAACCTCAAAACAGGAACTACATTGGAGACTGTAGGTAGAATGAGTTTTTCAAGGTTACAGTTTTCCGACAGTAGCGTGAAACCCAGCCAGACACAAATCCTGAAACAAAGATACCCTAAACCGTAAACCCTAAACCCTATATCCTAAACCCTAAGCCCTAAGCCCTAAACCCTAAACCCTAAACCCTAAACCCTAAATCCTGAAACAAAGATCTAAATCGGGAAAGCCCACAGTCGAGACGCATCACAGCAAACAGACGGATGATTGATATAGGGGCCTTAATAGTTGGAATAGGGCTTTGGGGGGCCATTGTAAAGGGTTCTAGAGGGTTCCATAAGGGCTACTATAAGGGTCTAGGGTGTAGGGGCCTTCATAATTAGAATAGGGTTTGGGGGGCCCAAAATGCTATGATTAGGTTAAGGAACGCAAAACATAGTATTGTAAATTGTTTAGACCCCTACATTACCTTCTTTAGGGCAAGCTTTCAATCCCAAAAACCGTCACACAGACCTGTAATCGAGAGCCAAACCCCGGACCATGATGCCTGTCGGCCAAATCCCAAAGAGTCGGCACTCACTCGGCCATAACCGCGATAAATCTTAAGCCCTACTTACTTCTGAAATGTGCTGCCTCGGGAGGAATCGCAGCTGCCGACAGCAACCAGTTCCGATGGAGCGGTCCGGGGCCCGGCAGTAGCTGCAAACCGAGAGGTTTTCAAGTCTGCTTTGTGGATGATATGATACAGGCCTAGAGGGTTTGATAACTCTGGTTTGGGTCTGTTTGAAGTATCAGTTCAGGGATTTGGTAAGTCGGGTTAGGTGAGAGTATGCTAGAATCAGGGTTAAAGTACCTAAAGTTGTGTTGCTGGTACTCGCAGTGCAAGAGCAGGTACGAATAGCCTTATTTCAAGCCTCCTAATCCTCAAAGTAGGGTTATAAGGGAAGTTCCCTGATCCTTTCGGTGCAGGGCATCATGCTACAATATGCTACAGAAACGGCTACCGCTATGTATATGTACACACACACACACCTACGCCTACATATACAGTAGTGCCAGTGTCATTGTCGCGATGTATTGCTGTGAAACCTTTCCTAGACTCCAAATTAGTACTGCATTACAACAGGAACTAAAGTTAAATGCAAACGCACTACTCACTGATTTGTGTACAGACAGACAGTCTACACCTCCTCCCAATAAAGCGAAGTGGCCTGAAACCTTCAGCACCTATACGCCCTACTGCCAAACACCTTGACAGCTAAACCCTGCATCCTGAACCTTCTAGACCCTAAACCTTATCCGCCCCCAAGCGAATCTAAACATGATATCCAACCCCTACAACCTTTATGTACAGTAACCCATCTCGTAGACCTTTAAAGCCACCGTAAACCTTAAGCCCTTGACCTACAAGCCGCTAGCCCTTCACCCATAATCTAACGAGAACTAGAAACTTTAAGTTAAACCCTTCACCCTAAACCCTAACCCTGAGACTGAGACCAGAATCCCTGCAGTGCCCTATAAGGAACCCTCATTGATAGTACCGGGAACCCTAAACCCATAACCGAAAAGTAGGATGCTGCCCAGGGCCGCACCCTTCTCGAGGCATTGTCAACGAAGCCAAGGCAAGGAGCCTTTTCGGGCTCTGGGTTTACGACGGGTGTATGTTTTGGACGGTTCAGGGGTTGGGTTTAGGGTTTTACAGAGTTGTCTAGGCTTTCATAGTGTAGGGTCTTTAGGAGGAGTTGCAGAAGAACCCCATACGGTCGAACTTTATGTTTAGAAAACCACATCCCCCACCAGAGTCTCACACATTTCTTAAGCGGATACAGCATTTAAGAAATGTCTGTCTTCCATCAGAGTCTCAGCGCATTTCTTAAGTGACACCTGGAGGGCTTGAGCCCAGAGCTTTCGATGACGACGCAGGCGCCTTACGCATTACGCTGCTTTGTCTCATCCACAAACGCAGTCGATTTTGGCTGTTTGGGTCCTCGCTGCAGAGGAAAATTGAGCCTGTTTGTTTTTTTGCTATGCCTGGAACACAAATTCCTGGTTTTGGCCCAGTTTTCTATTGGAAAATACTCAAACGCAGTCGATTTTGGCTGTTTGGATCCTCGCTGCAGCGGAAAATTGAGCCTGTTTGTTTTTTTTGCTATGCCTGGCTGTTTGGGTCCTCGCTGCGCAGGAAAATTGAGCCTGTTTGTTTTTTTTTGCTATGCCTGGAACACAAATTCCTGGTTTTGGAAGGTTGGTCTGCCCAAAAACTGAGTTTCCTATTGGAAAATAATCAAACGCAGTCGATTTTGGCTGTTTGGGTCCTCGCTGCAGAGGAAAATTGAGCCTGTTTATTTTTTTTGCTATGCCTGGAACACAAATTCCTGGTCTTGGGAGGTGGGTGTCCGGGCGAGACTCTCGAATAGTTTTTTTTTGGCGTGTGCCAGAGTCTCATTTCTTGTTTGATAATATTTCTTAACATACTGGTTCACCGTACTGGTCTAAGAGGGTGTGACAAGGGGTTTGTAGGGTCTCACAGGTTCCATGAGTGCCCTGTACTTCTACAGGGCTTGAGGGTGTTGGGATTGCGATTCGGTTTTGGAGGGTTTCTTTTTGGTTTCGGGGTAGATTGGGATTTGGCTATTGGGACGTGGAGGTTTCGGTTTAGGTTCTGAATGGACTACTGTCATTCGGGGTTACAGAGGCGGGGGCTTGGCAAGTACGGCTTTCTGGAAGGAGCGCAGCTGTAGTTCTTTTACGCACTGATCACCCAAGTTTTGCAGGTTGCGCATGTGTTGTTTGGGGTTTGTGGTGAGCTACGGGCTCAGGGTTGCGTTGCATGTGTGTAGGGCTGTGAGGTTTTGGGTTGACCTTGGTGTTTGTGGTCTATGAACGGTTCAAGCCTCTGTAGAGCACGGTTTAGGGTTTAGGGTTTAGGGTTTAGGATATGGAGGGGTTTGGAATCGACCGTCCCTCCGAGAGGAAACTTAGTAGGAGCTTCGGAAAACTGAACCCCAAATAGCAAAGTAGGATCAGGATCCTTACTAGCATAGCCCAAGTCCGAAGCCCAAGTTTTCAGAACCTCCCGAAACCATGCTTGTCAGCTGGGGGCTGGGGGTTAGGGCTTAGGGTTTAAGTTTTGAGGTTAGGGCTTTGGGGTTTGAGGTTTCGGTAACTGCCAGGGTTGCCAGGGTTTCAATATGGGTAGGTATCTAAATTAGGGTCCCTCTTGGGCTCCCTTTTATAAGGGTGCCGTACTGTAATGGGGACTTTAAAAGGGACCCTAATTTAGAGAACTACCCATATGACTTAGACTTAGGTTTAGGGTTCGAGGTCCGGGATTTGCTTGGCTTCCTGTACCCAGAGACTTACACTGCACAGTGTGCCCCCCGGCCTTTGTAAACAGACACCGAGAGTTTGGTGTGCGGCCCACGGCGCCTTCGGTCTAAGGTTTAGGCTGTAGGCTGTAGGGTTTAGGGTTCAGGGTTTAGGCTGTAGGCTGTAGGGTTTAGGGTTCAGGGTTTAGGCTTTAGGCTTTAGGCTTTAGGCTTTAGGGTTCAGGGTTTAGGGTTTAGGGTTTAGGGTTTGGGCAGCAGCTCGCAGGCGCGCTGACCGAATAGTTCATGTTGCCGGCACTTGAAATCCGAATCGCGGAAGACGTTAGCCAGGACTGGATTTGCACCGGCTTGTTGACACTGGTCGAGGAGTTGGACCCGACCGTGGCTCAAGATGGTGACCACTTTCGGCGATGCCAAGTGCACTATGCGATATTGAATCCACAATGGAATTTTGTTTCCGTCTTCAAAACCTTGACGACTCCACGAGTCAGTGTGGGACAGACTAAAGAAGTGGCATGCAATCTCGCAGTGGCTGCGGCTGCCTTTCTGTGCATAGATGCCGAACAAGTCGAAGGATGTTGCTTCGGGGTCTGTTTGTCGCAGCGCCAGGGATACTCGAGCCTGAAACGCTACAGCACGAGAACGTTCGAACTTCAAGCAGCAACACCTTGAAGCATCCTAGCTAGTATAGCTAGACAATATGCAACAACATGGGATCTGCAGGTAATCCCTCTATCTAAGACTTCCCTTAACTCTACCCATAGGCCCCATAGTAGTTCCTTTTGGGGGGGGGGTACCTAATAGGATCCTAAACACAAACCCCAAAAAGGAACTACTATGGGGTCTATGGGTAAGTCCTAAACTGCAAAAAGCAAGCGGTCAGTGACGATGCGCAGGTCAGATCCGCATCTGCCCCTGGGCAGCGACGGGGAGGCCTAGAAGATCTTAGTTGGAGGATCATGGGACTTAGTAACTAGGGTTATAAATAAGGTAACTATAATTATAACCCCAGTTAAGGTACATATAACCTTACTGACTAAGTCCCATGATCCTCCAAACAGGGTTCCTTTACACGGTTTTGTAAGGGTTCCTTTACAGGGCTCTGTCAGGGTTTAGGCCTTTAGGTTTTGGAGTGTTGCCCGGGCCTACATGCAGCCCCCTCGTACCCTTTTTAAGGACTTATACAAGGAAATCAGAAGAAGGAACCCTAAAAAGCTAGGGTGTTCAGGGTCCAGGTAGGGCGGGTTTGGGGTTCGTGTTTCTTTTGAATGCTCGGTTTCGCATCTTGGCGCTGCGGTAATGCTGAAGTGGTTGTGTTCAGGCCGGTTAGGCACAGATACGTTGGGCGTTGTTTAATGATGCCGTTTTGCTTGAGAGAGTGTGGGGAGCGCTCGAGAGTCTCGGGGTCAAGAGTGTTGTACGTCGACGTACTGGGGTGCACCGGGATGCGCGGTACAGCGTCCGGTGGTGGTGCAGCTGGACGGATGACTCCGAGTTCCGTGGGGCAGCTTTTCGCGCGCCAGCTGCACTCCGCTCAACCGCAGTGCATGAACGCATGGCTCGCACACGGGGTGGTTGTAGGGTTTATCCTCGGGGTTCAGTGCTACGTCCGGATCCTTCGAGCAAGTTACCAGGCTAAGGGTGGTGGGCTACCAGCTACCACCCTTAACGCGAAAGCCCTTTAACGGCTTGAGGGGGTTGAGTGCCGGGGTTTGGGGGTTTAGTAAGGGCTTCGGGTTTGGGTCATAAGCCCCTCAGCCCCATTGTAAATGGTCCACAAGCATCGTCTTGGCCCTTCATCAACAAGTTCCGAACCAGACTCCGGAAATTAGATGATACGTGGAGCTCAAAACATTCAATAATGAAAGAGGCGATGCCATTTTTCTCAATTTAAAAAATCACATGATTGTGCTGTAATTAAACGAAACTTTGCCTAGAATTGAATTTGGAATTGTTAAGCGTCAATTTTTGATTTTCCAGATCAATAAAATTCTACTTACCCATTACTTGGGCTAGTGTTGTTCAGTTCATGTTTTGAAGGATTGAAACATTATCTAGGAAGCCTGATAAGCACCTCAAATCGCACACGCAGGCCTTGCTTCAAATCCGCAGAGTTCTGCGCTCAGCAGAGTAAGGAGTGTGAGGTTGAACAGTTCGGGCTGTGGGGATCGAGGGTTTTGTGTTCGGGACGGGGAAGCTATTGTTTTGGCGAGGGAAGTTTGGCGGTTAACTTTGATTTAGGACTTTAGAGTTTAGGGTTTAGGGTTTCGGTGCGGGCCGTTTGTGTCGATTGCAAGGCTGGCTTCAAGCCTTAGGGAACTTGATTCGAGAGCCGGCAACCCAATCAATGCCTCGGACCTCAGCGTCCCATTGCTAAACCCTATAAGTTGCTAAGGCCCCGTGAATCGCTACAGCATGCTACGCCCTAGCGGCGTGTGTTTGTTGAAGCCCTAAGCCCTAAACCGCAAGTGTCTAAGCCGGAATTTGCTTGAGTGTCGGGCGCACAAAGAGAAATAGTGAACTCTGAATGCCCAGCTGCCGAAACCCCCAAAACCTAAAGCCTTGAAGCCCTGCTACAGCCTATCCCCGAAACCCCAAACCCTGAACCCTAAACCCCAAAACCTAAACCCCAAACCCTGAACCCCAAACCCTGAACCCACCCTCAACGTCGACTCCCAAAAGGTCTGAACGGAACTCCGAAATCGTGAACCCTACAACTTGAGGCTTTAGGGGTTTAAGGTAGGGTTTAGGCTTTAGGGGTTTAAGGTAGAGTTTAGGATTAGTGTTTAGGGGTTTAAGGTAGCCGGATCAGTCCTCAAAACGCAACTCCAAGGAGCCCCTGTAAAGCCTTAAAACTCCGAAACTGACGAAGGCCCGTGCGTACCAGGGTGAGGGCTGTGCCGGGGCCCAAGCACGAACAGCTCAGAGACATAGTTCAGGGAATGAGCGATTAGCAATAATTAGTCATGTTTCTTGGCTGTTCCTATAGCCCTTAGCATCAAAATAGCCCAAAAGCCTTTTACGATAATATATTGTATCTGGGCCCCAAAGGCCTTAGCATATGAGTCCTTTGAAGGTAAGGGTAGCGTAGTTCAGCTTTGTCATAAGGTGTCATGGACTCTTCTGCGGCTTATAGGCGTTTTGAGTCTTGAAGATCCGGGGGCCCTGACCCAGAGAGTCCATATACACAATAATTATACACTACCATTATGGAATGAGGTCCCAAAAGACCATCCCTAATATGGTTCTGGGGACCTAATTCCATAATGGTAGTATATATGATCCCGGTTC